CGCGGTCGGACAATGGCGCTGCGGTTCGGGGAATCTCGACCTCCAGCAGGAAAGGCCGCGCAGCTGCTGGACTGCACGTGCCCTGGGCGTGCACCCCGCGAAGCGAGAGGAATCTACATCGAGTCCGATCGATAGACAGGTGCCCTAGCAGGAGGGGGAGGGCAACCTGCTCCGCCCTCTTCCTCCTCTTTCCCCTTCCCTTGAAGATGCCTCGTCCCTGCCGCACCCCCAGACGTCGTCGGTAAGGCAGTCCAGACGTTGCGCCTGGGACTCCTGCACCGTGTGTGATCCTGAAGCTTGACTTCGGCCAGAGTTACAAGGATGACGGCAGGGCCATTTCAAAAAGAGGCTCTCGCCGTAGCGCCGCGCACAGCTGTACTAAGAGCGACTCGCTCATGGTTGGAGCCAATGGCCTGGAATCGACAATACTTCGCCGCTAGATCGACGATCTGCCACTGTGCCCCCTGGCACATTGAGGCGTGGAAAGATGCCAAGGATTGAGGTGTGAGGTTTATGTAAACTTCTGAGGGGCCCCCTCTATCGCCCTCGACCAAAAAGGCCATGATGCCACATGCAACAAAAAACAATGGGTCCGCGCTCCCAAGGACCCGATCCATCGTAAAAGCGATGGGTCCGCTTCCAAGACGGCCTGGGCAGGAACCAGAATCGCAAAGGAGGCACAAGATGCCTCCGAAGACGGCTTTACCTTGGACGGCTCAAGACGGCGCCAAGACGGCCCCACGACGGCACCAAGACAACCCCAATACGGCCAAGAAGGCTCCACGGTCAAAGAGAGCCGCAAGACGGCCGAAGAGGGCCTCAAGCCGTCCCAAGAGGGCCCCAACACGGCCCCAAGGAACCAAGACGGCCCCACAGGATCTCAAGACAGCCTCAAGACGGCCCAAATGAGCTCCATGAGAGATTCTCAAGAAATGAAGAAAACAAATGTCACGTGTGACGGCCTTCCGCTTCCTCCTCCTGCTACTCCTCCGTCTCCTCCCCATCATCCTTATCCTCGTCGTCCTCATCCTCCCTCAACAGCCTCGCCGCGGCTCTCCCAGGCTTGGGGCACGCGAAACGTCACGTACGACGGCCTCCCGCGCCCCTTGCCAGATCATCGAGGATGCTCCTCGATGGTCCTCGCCGAAGAAATATGCACACGTCCGAGCGATGCCAAGACCCCTGATGGGGAAGCCCACCCCTGACAGGGGAAACCCACCCGGGGGCATCCAGGCCCCCATCGGCGAGAAACGGGACCCATTGGGGAAGTCACCCCTGTGGGCGCCCCCTGGCTAGAAGGGTCCCTGAGCTGCCACCCTGCGCCCAGAAAGATTCCAGACGGTGCCCGCCCATCACTTGGGACGCTGGTGGAAGCCCGAAAAACCTAAACACCAAACCGTGGTTAACTGGGCGGGGGTTCTTCGTGGACCGTCTGCCAAACAGGCCAACCAGCGTGTAGATTATGAAAAGGTGGCTACTTAGGCCTGACTGGGCATTTAGTCTGGAATTGTGCAGGCAGACAGAGGTAACTTGACCATCATCACACTAATCATCACGTCGTCAACTCCAAAGCACCTTCTGGTCGAAAGAACGGCGTTTTGTCCCAGCCTGGGCCGCAGAACCACCACGGATCGATCCGGCCAGAGAAGTTTGTCTCGCGAAGACGGGGCCAGGAGCCCCAGGGGCCCACGACGTGACGGCCTGGCAACGAAAAAACAAACCTTGCTCCCTGCGTTGACAAGCCGTTACGTCGTGAGGCATTGACAAGCCGTTGCGTCGTGACGTCTGCGCACGAACGACGCGATCGCGATCACACCGAACCTTAGGTTCTCTGTGATGCGGACATTTTCGGACTCCATCAGCCGCTTTCGGCCCCAGCAGTCTCCGAATACAGGCCTCCTAGAAGGGGTCCGAGTGGATGGGGTCGGAGGATCGCGCCGCATCACCGAGACATCGCGGAAGCATCGGCGATGCATCATCACGTCGGCGATGCATCGGCGACGTCGACGTGGAGAAAATCGGGCTCCACATCGAGCCGCATCGCCGATGCGTCGGCGATGCGGAGCGATCCTTCGACCCCATTTACTCGGACCCCATTTTTGCAAACGAAGGGAAAGGGGACATCAGAGTTGCTCACCTTTCTTAGACTTCAGGGGTGGCCTCGTTGCCATAGCTAGATCCACCTCGAAATGCTGGTCGGAACGCGATCCAGGACAGGTCTGGGGGTCGAGTCTGAGGAGGAGAAGGAATTTGGTGAAACCCCAGAGGGAGCGCACAAGGGGTCGGTCAGTTTGGGGCTCTGCGAGGCCACGCGACCGTCTTGGAAGGCCAAACCCGCCTTCCTGGAAGGCCAGCAAAATCCTGATGAGAAGAACAGCGCTTTCTCAGAAGAAACGGGCCCTGTTCCAACACCCTTTGGGGCTGCGCCGATCTGAATATAAAGGGCGGTGGCGTGTAAGTCTGCCAAGTAAATTCACTTGCGTTGCAACTATCCCCGGACTTCGCGAGCTCAGAGCCCTCCTGGTCCATGATGCGGCAGAAGGAATTCGACACCCGATCGAAGGTCGTGCCCTTCGAATTCGCCGGCCCAACGGGCCAGAGGCGTGCTAAGATCTCCGGTAACTGGTTAACAATTCTCTAGTTCGCGCGCGCGGGGCGGCCCCTGGGGGTCCCCGGACGAAAAGTACCCCGACCGACCCCCGGGCGATCCCCGGGAGACTCCCCCAGAGTGCTCCAGGAGCGCTCCATGAGCGCACCAACAGGGCTCCGAGACGTCCCCGAGAGCCCCAAGAAAGGCCAAGAGGCCCCCAAGAGGCCCCCAAGATGGTACACGAGGGGTCCGACATGCCACAAGATCGCTCCAAGACGCCCAAGATAGCCCCCAGACGCCCCAAGAGGCCTCCAAGAGCACTCCCAAGAGGGCCCCCGAGAGGGCAAAATTCATTGTTTTTCCTTAGGTTTTTGAGAGATTTTGGAGCTTCCACCTTTTCGGCTTCCCGACGCCCCAAGACGGCCCAAGAGGCCCCCAAGATCGCCCCAAGAGGGCCCAAGAGGCCCCCAAGAGGGCCCCAAGATGGCCCAAGAGGGCTCGAAGACGGCCCAAGAAGCCTCCAAGACGGTCCAAGAGGGCCCCAAGAACGCCCCCAAAGGGGCCCCAGAGAGGGAACACGAAACAACATTTCGAGCCCTCGGCCCTAAGAAGCCCCTACGAGGCCCCAAGAGGCTCCTATGAGGCCCCAAGAGGCCCCCACGAGGCCCTCAGGAGGCCCCCAAGAGTCCCCCAAGCGGCCCCAGGAGGCCCCCCAAATGCCCCCCCGAGCACCCCAGGAGTCCCCCAAGCGGCCCCAGGAACCCCCGAAGCGCCGCATTGACACCAGGCCCTCGGGCAAACGGCAGACATGAGACTGTATGGGCCGGCGGAATGAGCGAAGCGATTAAATAAATATTCACGACGAAGATTATCTGGTCGCAGTGGGCGGGGAGCTGATCTAAGTTGACGGTAATCACCTCGTCATCACCAGATCCTTCCCCAGTGAGGTTGTCTCCGCTGTGCTCCACGCCAAACTCTTGGAGGTTGCCGAAGAAGACGGCTCCTATCTCGCTTGCGTCCTTGGCGAACAGGACCACGGAGACGTCCATGTCCACGTCCCCCGCCCCAGGGTCCACGTCCCAGCCAAGCCCCGCCCGGACGAGGGCCATCTTGCTGGAAGTCTGGAGGTCCATCACCTCGCCTTGGCGGCGCGCAAATATGGACGTCGCGAGGGGGGGGGGCGTCTGTAAGAAGGCAGGGCCATCCTGCCCCTGAAGAAGCCTTCTCGGATGGCCCCCGAGCCGTTCTGAGACACCGGAGCCTTCTCAGAAGATGGCACACCTTGCCACCCACACAGCCCTCTGAGAAGCCCAGTCCTCGCCCCAACCCCAGCCCGCTTCCCATAGCAGGTTCCACGTCGCGATGAATTCGGCACTGGTTCCTGGCACTGCGTGGATCGTCCAGCCCTGAACGATCGCGGCTTTCCCATAGCGCAGACCGTTCGACATCGGCCGATTTGCAAGGGCCCTGGGACACACATATAAATATACACGAGTAACAGGGTTCCCCATATTTCCTATATTTTCTAGGGTTTTCGTCTTCTCCCCCACTTCCCATATTTTCCGCATGTTCCTCGGAATCGACGATTGATTGTATCTGTGTGGTTGTTCTCCCCCTGACGATTCTTGGCAGTGGCAGCGCTCAAGCCTAGATGCCCGCGCTGGGGTCGCGGCCGCGTCAGCGGGGAGCGAACCTGCCGCAGAAGGCCGCCCGCCTTCGGAGAAGGCTTGGCGGAGACCGCTGGTGCACACCATGAGGCCCCCTGCCCTCTCACGCGGAGGCGGAGGCGGAGGCGGAGGCGGAGGAGGAGGAGGAGGAGGGGGAGGAGAAGACAACCACCCAGCTCGTGCCGCCCCCGTTTCGGAGCGCCAGTGCGCGCCCTTCTCCATAGCGAAGGCCACCTTCTGCTTCTTTGGCGCCCCTGGTCGGGGGCGCGCAAACATGGATTAGCGATCCATGGATTTGGCGCGCGGTCGCCAAATCCATGGATCGGGGGAGGTGTCCTCCCCAAAATGCGGGCGGTGCCGCCTCGCTCGGCGGCGGAAATCCGCGATGTCCCATGGAAACGGGACCCGTCGCTAATCCACGCCCCCTTGATCCATGTTTGCGATCGCCTGACCTGGGATCTCTCTGCGAATAAGGCTGCCCAGGGTGGGCTCCAGGATGTCTACAAAGTGCCTGCCCTCCAAGGCAGGCTCCTCGACGACTCTGAGGACCCAGCGGTCGGACTCCCGCACCATCATGCAGACCGCGTCCACCTCTGCCTCGCACTCCTCCATGGCAAAGCTTGCGACCTCGTTATCCTTCCTCTCCTCCAGCAGGTGGATCTTCCCGTTCTTGGCGTCCTTGAGATGCCCCCGGTTGTAGGCAGCCACCACAAAGATGATGAGCTTGACATGCTGGGGCAGCTTCTGAAAGGTGACCCAGATGCACTCGTCGATGCCCGACCTCTCCCCCGTCGGCTCGTCCCCCGAGTGAGTGATGGCTGCCTTCAGCGCCTTGAGGTTGTTGTAGTACACGGCATCGATGATCTGTCCCTGCTCGCTCACAACCACGGCCTTGGAGGCCCCAAGTGAGCATATCCTTGCTACACGCAAGAACGACCCCGAGCAAGAGTGGCCGTTGGTGCGCGGCCTGCCAGTCGTTCCGTGCGATGCGACACTGGCGGCCAACGTGCCTGGGCGTGGCTCCCTGCGCCCCCCGAAAGCCGCGCACCAAGAAAAGGTCACTCCCGCGAAGGTCGGCGGCGAGCCCACGGGTGAAAACAGAGTGTGCGGGCCTCCTCAGAAGGCTCGGAAGGCCTCTGGCCCGCTGAGAAGTTGTCCGATCCTGTTCCGAAGACAAAGGCAGCATCTCGGAAGGCGGGAGGGCTTCTGAGAAGCCCCGCCGCCTTCTGAGAAGGCCCGCCTCCCACTTCCCACCTGGGCTCGCCGCCGGGTTCTGGCTTAGGGGCAGGCTGTGATGCAACTATTCTGGGCCCCCGCCGTTGCAATGCAGCCATGCTGGGCCCCCGCCGTTCTACCAGGGACCCTCCGCTCCCCCTCGTGTGGGCATCGCGCAGTGGGGTTAGGTCGGGCGTGTCCTCCTGCACGCGGACTTTGGACGGGGGCCTTCACGGCGCGAGACGAGCATTGTTCACACACACCCCATGTTTAGGCTTAGGTCGGGCATGTCCCTACAGGCGGATTTTGGACGAAAAATGAAAAATGGCCAAACGAAACATTGCAAAAACTCTACCACAAGGATCGGAAAATCGTCTCCAGACTATCTCGGGACAATGTTTGAATATTCCTCCTGTAGAGGGACATGCCCGACTTAAATTTAGATGCAAAATGACCTCTGACGTGCAGCCGAATATCGGGGAGACGTGAGAACCCGGTTCGGGGGGCTCGGTTGGCCTGACGAGGCAATCATGAAAATGACGAAGCCCAGTGCGTCGGCAAACCCGAGTTCCGGCGCACTCGAGTCTTACACTTCCTCGATGTAGGCGAAAATGTTCGGACCTCCACGCGCGGTCTCTCCGCCAGGGGCTGGGCGGGCGATCCAGGCGCGCCAGCAGAGGAGCCGCCCACGGGGGGGCCAAGGAGCCCATGCGTGCTCCGGCGCGGCTGTCTTTACACTCGCGTTCTTGTAGAGGGCCGCGGCAGATAGCGGCAACCGACTGGCGCCAAATCGCGGCGCGCGCCCCATGCCAGCCGACCACCAATCACCACCAAATCGCCGCCAGCACCTGCCAAACGCCCCCAGGCAAAATGTGCAAAAGGCGAGGCTTCCACGAAAGCAAGCGAAAGTTTCTGCTTCCCAGGGCCTGCAGGTCGACGTCCACGATCGTGTCGCGGTTCTCGTCCCACGAGAGTACAGGGCTGCCAGGGGTGACCCGCGCCGTGTTGGAACCCCTGGTGCCAGGGGCCCTCTGGGCCTCGTGGGGGGTGCTCTCATCGGCGTCTGGAGGCCACCTGTCGGGGAAACGCAAGGCTCGGGTACGCCAGAACTCGGGTTTGCCGACGCTTTTTGACGAGCGCGGCCTGGATTTTGACGGTCCAGTTTTCGCGCGGTGCTTGTTGCGGCAGCTCTCGTCGAGTTTCATATTGGGCCTCGTCGTTTTCATGATGGCCCCGTCAGGCCAACCCGAACCCCACGAACCCGAGTCTTGCGCAGTTCCCCCGAACCCGAGTCTTAACCCGAGCCCCACGAACCCGAGTCTTGCGCTTCCCCGAGTCTCGCTCTCATCGGCGTCTGGAGGCCACCTGGGGCTCCCGAGAAAGGCCAGAGTCTCCCTGGGCGACGAGTGGAGCCCCAGACACGCCCACGGGTGCGTTCCGTCTAGAATTTCGACTGGCATGCGGCCGTGACGACGAGAAGCCTCCCAGCGCCACAGACAAAGAGACATGGCACAAACAAAAACAGCAGCAAACAAAGAAACATCCGAATTCCTCGAGCCTCGAGTCTCGAACCCCTCGACCAGGCTCGGCGGCGAGCGAGGGGGGCACATGAGAAGGGGCGGGCCTTCTCAGAAGGCTCGGAAGTCCCCCGCCTTCTGAAAGGTATTCTAAGCCTTCCCCGAAGACACAGAAAAGTTCTCAAAGGCGCGATGGCTTCTGAGAATTCCCATCCTTCTCACTTCCTCCCGTCGCTCGCCGCCGACTCGAGTCTCGAACCCCTCGCCCAGGCTAACACTTGGACGAGGGCCACCTCTGGCACCACCTGCGCGATGCCGACGCCGTACTTCTTCACCTGGGCGCCCACCTCGCGGGCCGCACGACGAGCGGTTACGGCAACCCAGGACAGAAGAACATGCGACCCTGCGCCGACAAACTGAAGAACGTTCGAGGGTACCCTCCCAAAGGATGCACAAGAACATCCGAAAAGCACGGAAAACACAAGGGTACCCTCCCCGCACCGACCTCGATCTCTGTACAGCAAGACGGCTCGCGCAGCTGGATTCCCCGGCTCGCCCCCGCGCCGAGGCGCTCACGTGCCGAGGTGTCCGGCGCAGCTGCTCGCAGCAGATCTCTGCCCGAGAACCGACACCGCCTCGGGAAGATCGGCACGGAAGAGAAGCACTCCCAGAGCCCCAGACCAAGACCTGTCTGCGGCGGCTCCCGAGCCAGATCCGCCTGCAAGGGCCTCGGACCCGAAACGGGGCGGAACAGAGCCGAGGCGACCCGATAGAGCCGCGTCGTCTGACGTTGGGCCATCCGGCTCGGGTCTCCTTGGAGTCCCGAAACGGTGCGGTGACAGACAGTGCGGTGACCTCGAAATACCCCAAGACCTCACCGCACGGTCCGTCAACGCACGGTTTTGGGACCTCAGATGCCCCAGCCGCCCGAGACGCCCTCGGAGAACGACCCGAGTCCCAAAACCGTGCGGTGACCCCGAACCCCCACCGACTCACCACACGGCGTGGTCACCACCCCGTTTGGGGGCCCCCGAATCTCTGGCGGCGCCGCTTGGGACGATCCGGGCACCCCCGGAACGCTGACGGCGAGGCGCCTCTGCTGGAGGGCATCCTGAAGCTCGTGTTGCTCTCATCGAACTTTAAGGACCACACTCCATATATACATATATATATATACATAAAAAAAATATACAAAAACAAAAAAAAAAAAAAAAAAAAAAAAAAAAAAAAAACGACCACTCGGAGAAGTATCGAAACAGTCTCTGCCCAACGCACTGGCGAAGTGTCGGATGTATGAAAACCCTCCAGTTTCGATACCCTCCTGCTGCTCGAAGCTAGTTCTGCTGGTCACGGCTACAATGTAGGACGGAACATCCTAGCCCAAGGCCAGAAAACTGCCGAAAAGAAACAAACGTAGCACACAAAATTGTTAGATTTCCGCGTGCATTCCTTGGGTTGGTGCTGGCCCCCCCTCTCCAGGCCACGCAGAGCGCGCCGCGGGGGGCCCAGCGCCGATCCAAGAAACCCGCGCGGAACTGCGACGGTGTCTGTTTATGGCACTTCTTCGCCGGAGACCCCCGTGCCCGTCCCCCCTGAGCCTCGATCCCCACCTCTCCCTATCCCACCGCTCCCTATCCTCCCCGAGCCTCGAGAGCCCTCCATGTTTTCTCCCGTCCTCGAGATCCCCCCTTTGATGATCCTCAGAACGTGTGTCAGCGCCAACGCATGCTTGTCCACCAAAGCCCTTCACAACGACGCAGGCGGTGTAATGAGAGCTCACACAGGCTGCTTGCTACCTGCGGAGCTGACCGAGGAAACCACACATCGTGCTAACAGATGTCCTGATAACTATCGACGCCTTTCCTGCTCGGTGGCGACATCCAAACCCTACCCCCACCGACCATCGCTTTGTTGGACCGATGGGAAACAGAACCCTACCACCGCCGCCCATCGAGATGCCGGAACCGTTGATCGGCGAAGGTCGGCTTCGGATTCCGCCGCAACCCATCCACCCCTGAAGGGACCCCGGAAGAGGCAGGGCCGTTTTATCACTGCTTTCGAGAAACGTCTCTTGACATTGGAAAAGATGTCCGGAACAAAAAATGGCGACGGAACCGGCAACAAAACGTCGAAGGAACTGACAAACAAAAAACGGCGCAACGGAAGCGGTACAAAAACAACTGCCCTCTGGCTGTCTGATAAGGTCCACCCCCTCCCCCGCCTTGCCTTCGCTTCGACGCCCATTCCCCGTGCCTGTTTCGGAGCCGTGCTTGGACGTATTCTTTCCCCGAGATGACACAGGATGTTCCTCGAGGGTCCCTGCCGAGAAAAAAGCGCACACGCCCGAGCGATGCCAGGCGAACCCACGGAGGAGGAGGAGGAGGAGGAGGAGGAGGAGGAGGAGGAGAAAGAGGAGGAATAGAGCCTCGAAGGCGCGCGGCGCGGGGCCGCCCGGCGACGGCATCTGCCCCCCCGCGGCCGATGGGGGGCCCGCCGCGTGCCGCCTCGGCCGCGGGCTTAGGCCGAGGCCTCGGGCTCGATGGATCGGGCGCGGCAGGCTCCTCCTCCTCCTCCTCCTCCTCCTCCTCCTCCTCCTCCTCCTCCTCCTCCTCCTCCTCCTCCTCTGGTGGCGGAGCGCCCAGGCGGGGCCAGTGCGGGGGGGGGCCCGCTCTTCGCCCAGGGAGACCCTGGCCTATCTGAGGAATACGCAAGACTCGGGTTCGACGCGAACTCCCGCTGCAAGCACCGCACGAAAACTGGACCGTCAAAATCCAGGCCGCGCTCGTCAAAAAGCGTCGGCAAACCCGAGTTCCGGCGTACCCGAGCCTTACCTTTCCCCGACAGGTGGCCTCCAGACGCCGATGAGAGCACCCCCCACGAGGCCCAGAGGGTCCCTGGCCCCAGGGGTTCCAACACGGCGCAGGTCACCCCTGGCAGCCCTGTAATCTCGTGGGACGAAGACCGCGACACGATCGTGGACGTCGACCTGCAGGCCCCGGGAAGCAGAAAGCCACACTCGGCGACGAGCACGGGGGGGAAGTGAGAAGGCATGCCTCCTCTCTTCCCCCCTGGGCGCGCCGCCGAGATGTGCTCGGCGACTCCCAGTGCGTCCAGGACGTCGCCGTGGGCAGGTTGTGCCAGCGCTTGCCCGAGCGGGTGTCTGAGGGCAGCCCTTCGTACGGGAGGCGTGAGAAACACGTGGGGCAAGCTGGGCCGTGGTCTCCATCCCACGGTGGCTGGGGCAACCCTTTGCCATTTCACAAACGTGTCAGGGCTGCCCCAAGGTAGCCAGTCTTTCTAGGCCAGCCGGTCTCCGCAGGGCTCTTCTCAGTTCGGAAACCCAGAACGCGTTTCTTGACGGCCACCTTCTGTTCCATCGCGGAGCTGTTCACTCTTCAAAATGCATTCCTGGAAGCAGGCCCTGAGCACGCGTGTTGAGGAGTTGCCTTGAGTGGAAATCCGATCAATCAATATCATCATCTTCCTCGTATCCCTGCTCCTCCTGCTCTTTCTCCTCCTCGTCCTCCCATTCCTCCTCGTCGGCCTCCTCTCATAACCATATTCAGCATCACTCATCATCAGCATCATCATCATCATCAGCAGCAGCAGCAGCATCGTCATCATCATCATCATCATCATCATCATCATCATCATCATCATCATCATCATCAGCATCAGCATCAGCATCAGCATCAGCATCAGCATCAGCATCAGCATCAGCATCAGCAGCAGCGCAGCAGCAGAAGCAGCAGCAGCGTCATCATAAGCATCATCATCATCAGCAGCATCATCAGCATCATCATCAACAACAACATCATCATCAACATCATCATCATCATCATCATCATCATCATCATCAGCATCAGCATCAGTAGCAGCATCATCATCGTCAGCATCAGCAGCAGCAGCATCATCATCATCACCACCACCACCGCCATCATCCCCCTTCCCTCCTCCTTTTCCTACTCATGCTCCCTCTCCTTCCCCCTTCCCCCCCTGGTCGTCACCGCTGTTCTAAACCTATCAGGAACGCCCAGAACTCCAACCCCTCGACCGCCCCGCTGCACGCCCAACAAAAAATGGCGTACTCAACCATGCGATAAGTGGTCACATGGTTACACCAAAGGCCCCAGCCAGTTAGAATTGTCGTATGAGAAAGGAGATGTGATCCCCGCATGCGATCTAGCAAGCCATGACATTGCACGACTCATAGGACCCACTGAAACAGTTCCAGGCAAAGGAAGTAGAGAGGGGGAAGGAAAAAAAAGACGACGACGACGACGACGACGAAAAAGCTGAAGGAGGATGAAGGATATGAGAGGAGGGATGCGCAAAGTCGTTGCGAATTGCAGAGGACACCTGGGCACGCGAGAAGACTTTTCCCTGGGCAACCCGTGCTCCACATATGAAAACAAGCTGGAATGCAACAGATACAGTGCAGGCCAGTCCACAAGAAAACTTCCACTAGCGACCCAACCCTGAGACCACAGGACGTCCATGGATTCTTGGTGTGGGAACGTCGCGCTTTCCACTGCATAAACCATCGACACCCGAGAAACCCAGGGCACCCTGGAGGCAAGCAGGGTGCTTCTTGGCATGGGCCCCCACTGTACCCGACCGTGCGACACCCAGGCAACACCAGGGAAGGCGAGGCCCCGTTGGAAGCCGTGCAGCACCGCACACTGCTGGACCCCCCAAGCAGCGCAGCACGGGAAGGACAACTGCCGGCGGTGGACAAACCTCCCTTTAGTAAACCTCCCTTTAGTGAAAACGGCCTAGGACCGAAACCGACGGACCTGGACCCGCAAAAACGGCAGCCGCGACGCCCTCTCGGGAACCGAAAACGGCCAATTCGCAAGTCGACGTGTCAGGGTAGGAGGTCTATCGATCTCCGAGACTGTGCGCCTGGTTAGTGAGCCCTGACGACTGTAAAACACATGCGGGAATGATGGCATGTTTGTTTTGCGTCGGCGGCTGGGCAGAGCAACTGCGCCGGCGGAGGGGCTACCTAAACGGGGGCACCGTTGCAGCGAATTGTGCCACCGTGCAGGGGAATGATGAAATTAAGCGTTTCGCGCCCGCCGAGGTAGCCACGATTGGAAATGCTCAACAAAAACAACAAATAGCGTCCCGCTCAGAGCCCAGGCTCGAGCTTGGGCTCGGGCGTGGGCTCGGGCTCTGGCTCGGGATTGGGACAGGGAGGCGCAATGCCCCGTTGGGATCCGCGCAACACCACGCCTCGCTGGACCTCTGTCGGGGCGCGGCAGGGTGGCGACAGCTGCCCGCCTGGCGGCGCACAGGAAGGAGAGCGAGAGGATGAGGAGAGGGGGCGGGAGGGAGGTCCAGCGGTGCAGGCAAGAACGGGGGGGATGGCGACCCCAATCCCCGACTTCTTGGGGTCTCGACTGGACCACTAATTTCGGGACAAACTTGAGGGATGTGCCATGGGGGCGCGTCCAACCTGGATAGGGGTGCAACCCGATAGCTCCCCTGGGTGCGCATCCCCGAGCTTCCACTCTTTCCTAAACGGCACGATTGTTTGGTCCTTCCCTAAACGGCCAACTTTTGTTGGAGGAGGAGCTCGGGGACTGGAGTCGGCTGCACGCACGAGTGACCCCAGGCAAGAGTGACCTGTGGAGCGCGGCTTGCCACCCGCTGCGCGCGATGCGACAGTGGCGGCCTGCGTGCTTGAACTCGGCCCACGCGCGCCCACTGAACACCACGCAGAACAGGGGCCCTTCTGGCGAAGGGCCACTCCTGCGCGTAGCCGATGGCAGCGAGAAACCGCCCCGCGACGCAGAGAGGCAGGCAGCGGCCCGAGAGGCGGCGAGCACCCCCGCCTGGCGAGGTGCAGCGCACGGGCCAGGCTCCCCCCGCCGCGGTGCAGCAGCCGCGCCGCGGTCTTGATCCTGCCCCCCCGAGGCGGCCGACGCCGCCCGCTCGGCGGCCCCTCGGGAGGCCCCTCGGCGGGCGTCGCCAGGCGGCGGCCCCTCGGCGGCCCCTCGGCGGCCCCTCGGAGGCCTCTCGGAGGCCTCGGCGGCCCTCGGAATGCCCTCGGAGGCCTCGCGGCGGCCACGCGGAGGCCCCCCGTCGGCCACGAGCCGGGGCGCCTGGGAGGAGTCCCAGGATCGACCTCGATCCTGGATCGAGGCTCGATCCTCGAGGCTCGAGGGTATCGATCCCCGATCGTCGAGGATCGGTTCTCGATTGTCGAGGTCGATCCTCTGGAGCCTCGATCATCACTGAGAGGAAGGAGCGGCGAAGGGAGGAGGGGGATCCAGCAGGGGGGCAGAGGGAGGAAGAGCGGGGAGGAAGAGGAGGAGGAGGAACAGGAGGAAGGAGGAGGAAGAGGGGGAAGAGGGGGAGAAGGATGGGGAAGGAGGAGAAGGAGGAGCATGGCCACGGATCGAGGACAACCTTCCCTCCTCCAGTATCTTCCTCCTCTTCTTCCTCATCATCATCCTTTTCCACCTCGTCCTCCTCCTCCTCATCCTCCTCTTCCTCCCCCCATTCCTCCTCTTCACTCCCCCTCCTCCTCCTCCTCCTCCTCCTCCTCCTCCTCCTCCTCCTCCTCCTCCTCCTCCTCCTCTCCTCCTCCTCCCCTCCTCCTCCTCCTCCTCCTCCTCCTCTTGCTCATCATCATCATCATCATCATCATCATCAGCATCATCATCATCATCATCATCATCATCACATCATCATCATCATCATCATCATCATCATCATCATCATCATCATCATCATCATCATCCATCATCATCTCATCATCCTCATCATCATCATCATCATCATCATCATCATCCTCATCATCTTCATCATCATCCTCATCATCCTCATCCTCATCATCATCATCATCATCATCATCATCATCATCATCATCATCCTCATCATCATCATCATCATCATCATCATCATCATCATCATCATCATCATCATCATCATCATCATCATCCTCATCCTCATCATCATCATCATCATCATCATCATCATCATCATCATCATCATCATCATCATCATCATCATCATCATCATCATCATCATCATCATCATCATCATCATCATCATCATCATCATCATCATCATCATCATCGTCAGCATCATCACCATCATCAACATCATCATGAAAATCATCAAAACCATTAGCAGCAGCATCAACAACAGCAGCAATATTACAATCATGATCAGCATCATCAGCAGCATCAGCATCAGCATCAGCAGACTCATCATCATCGTCATCAGCAGCATCATCAGCATCAGCATCACCACCAACATCATCCCCATCATCAGCATTAGCCTCAACACCATCATCAGCATCATCATCAGCATCATCATCATCGGTATCATCATCATGTCGTCACCATCATCAGCATCTGCAGCAGCAGCATCATCATCGGCATAATCATCATTATTGCCACGCGAGAGGGTCGGGACGGACCCCGCCGCAGTGGGGAAACGCAGGCGGTTTCACGGCCGACGGGACCCCCGCCATCATCGCGGGGGAGGCCGAGGCGTAGCGCCTGGCGGACTGCCGCCTGCGCAGGAGATCCTGGGGGCTGCCCCAGGGAGGAGACGGAGGCTTCGACATGAGCACGCGCGCCTTGCCGCGCGAGGCTCGGACGAGACGGGCCGACCTCGCGCGCGCCCGTGCCATGCAGCGCGTCGAATCCCTCCGCGCGCCGAAGAACGCCGGCCCCCCGTCGCTGCCGACGGGCGGCCCTCTGCTGACAACCTCGCGAGAGCCCGTGCGCAGGCGGCCCTTGCGAGACGAGGGGCGCCGTGGGGAAAGGCAAGATATCCCTGTCCACGCGCTCCTGCCCAAAAATTCCAGCGGCGCTGAGACGCCCCGAACACCCCCAGTAAAGCTCGCCTCCTCCCCTCCAGGCCTGAGAGACTCCTGTGGGGGGGCAGTCGTCACCGCCACTTCTTCATTCCTGGCGTCTCGCGGACCTCGCGCGCCTTCGGCGGGTTCCTGGAGAGGGCTACGTCCCGCTCGAGCTCCGCTTTCGCGCTGTCCCGCAGCTCCGGCGACGCCGTGTGCCTGGTCTCGGCCCGAACGGCGGCGCCGAAGGCCGCCTGCTCGTCTGCCGCGAGCCGCCCGTCGCCCAGTCGCGGATCTTGTCGTTGTATCAATACTCGATGGCCTGGAGGCGCCCGAACATCACCTCCACAGATTGAATGTTTTGCGCCATCCACCTTGTCATGTTGCAGCATCGCCTTCAGGTAGCTCACCACTTGTGCAGACTCCCCCACGCCCCACCGGGCATCCTGCAGCCCGCACATCTTCTTGAAATGCTCGAAGTAGCTCTCCGAATGGCGAGGTGCTCCAGGCCCTGCATGGTCGTCCTTGGCGTCAGGAAGTCCGCTATGACCTCTTCCCGACAGATGTCCACGATGTTGGCCAGGCTCCTAAGGGCTCGCCCGCCCGCCCCAGTCGCGCTGGCAGCAGACGTCAATCGGTGGGGACGATGCGACCCACGCGATGAACAACGCCGACCCATCTGCCAACGCGACGGCCCCTCGAGGCGGGCAGCCCGTCCCGAGAAACCAGCGGGCGGCGCGACCACGTCCGTGGCAGCCTTTCCACTCCTGCGCCGCCCGCCACTTGCCCACGGGGCCAGCCAGAGGCGCCGGCGACGCCGCCAGCCAGCACGAGCGGCCGGAGGGGCGCGCTCCGTCGCCCGCCGCGCCGCCCCGGCGGGGGGGGGGCTCCCCCGCGCGCGCCGCCCAGGCTTCCCGCCCCAGCCGCGGCCGCCCCAGCCGCGGCCCCAGCAGCCGAGGCCCCGCGCCCGGGCACGCCCCCGGCCAGCGGGCGGGGCCGCGGCCGCGGCCGCCGGGGGCGCACCCGCGCTGCGGCCACGGGCACGGCCAGGAGGCGGGAGCCGGCAGCGCTGCCCCAGGTGGGCGCCGCTGGCAGCACCGCCGCGCCTCGGCGTCGGGGAGCCAGGCGGCCACGTCGGTTGGCGTCGGCGCCGCGCCGAAGCGGCTGGTCCTCCCGAGGCCTGACAGCTGCCTCGGGCAGGCGGGGTACGGCGGCGGCGACCGCAGCAGCCAGGCTACACCTCGGCTAATCCCCCTGACGGCCAGGCCGATCACGAGGGCCAGCACGGTCGTGAGCCAGGCCGCCACGACCGATGGAGGCCTCCCAAATGGGGTCGGCGCAAATGGAGTTGGAAGGTCGCGCCGTTCGACAATGCATCGCCGATGCATCGGCGATGCATCGGCGACGTCGGCGATGCATCGGCGACACAGGCGTGGAGAAAAACGTGCTCCGCATCGCGCCGCATCGCCGATGCATCGGCGATGCGGAGAGATCCTCCGACCCCATCTGGGAGGCCTAGAACCGATGGACCAGCCCTCGGCGTCTCGCCAGGCGGCGCGATGCACATCTCTGGGGCCCCAAGACACGCGGGGCAAGGCGGCCCCGCTGGGCCCACGCACTGGCACTCCGGGCAGGTCGGACACGGCGGAGCCGGCGGCGCCAAACTCAGCCAAGAGGAAAACCCCATGCGCCAGCCAGGTGATCGCGCCGACTGCCCACGGGACCACGGACATCCTCCGGGGAAAAAAGCTTGAACGAACATGTGAGCTGCGGATCATTGAAATAGAAGCAATACTGTTCGGAGAACAGATCAGGAGCAAGAGCGGACGCGGGACAAGTGTGAGGAGAATTTATCACTGGCACTCCCCAGGTAAGTACCGCTTCAAAACTGCCTCCAAGAGGCCCGCAAGGCCCTCAAACAGTTCCCAAGACGCCCACAAGTGTCCCCAGATAGTGCCCAAGAAGCCCACGTCGCCTCAACCGTGGACTGTCCGCCATTTCTGAGGGTCGGCAGCATGTCGCAACCGTCTTGAATTAGTACGGAAAAGATGGTACGATGCCCATCGGCAGATTTTGACCAACACCGACAGCGGCTGCTGTTGGGCAGGTAACTGTCTGTCTCTGAAAGGACCGCGTCCGCGGCGACGCCGACACCGAGTCAAGTTCAAAATTGCCAACTTCGCACCCATTATGTCCGTACAGTCGGACCTCGGCCAGAAGACCATCCCTCAAGAACATGAGACCCTCCGTCGGCCAAAACGCGCAGAACATCCAATGGTACCCTTCCCATGATGCACAAGAGCATCCAACAAACACGAAGAATACTAGAGCACCCTCCCCGAACCGACCTCGATCTTATACCTCGGTCCGGCTGCATCCATCTAGGACATAAGCCGCTGAGGAGCAGGCGGAGGCGGGAGAGGTGCCGGAGCAGAGCGGGTGTGACCGGGAGCGCAGAGGAGAAGTCACCAGCGAAGGCATCTCTGCAGGAGGAGGCAGTCGAGGAGAGGTATCGGGAAGAGGACGAGGAGCAGGCACAGCGCATGACAAGCTCGTGAGCTCGCAGAGTCTGGTCGAAATGACGAAGCAAAGCGCAGGCTTGAGACATCCCCCCTGCAAGAGGAAGCAACAACAACAACAACAACAACAACAACGACAACGACAACGACAACAACAACGACAACAACAACAACAACGACAACGACAACAACAACGACAACGACAACGACAACGACAACGACAACGACAACGACAACGACAACGACAACAACAACAACAACGACGACGACGGTACCCAACTTATTCCCAAAACAATGTTTGCAATCAGGGGCTCTTGCTGAAGTCACAACCATTGAGACGGTATGTCGGTGTTTCGCCACGTCGCCGCCCGACGCCACTCGTGGGCGCCTCCTCGGCACGCTGTGTGCTCGACGGGTGTCCGGGGTTCACCACGTTGCTGCCCGTCGCCGCTCGACAGTTTACACCACATAGCTTGCACCTCAGAACTTGTACCACAGTGCGTGCGCCGCATAGACTGCACCACATAGCTCGCACCACAGACCTTACACCACATACCTTACACCACATATCTTGCACCACATAGCGTACCTCACATCAAGTGCGCTGCACATCTTACGCCACACAGTTTGCACCACATCGGTGACATAGCAAATGAGCGTTTTCTTATTCGGCGTTTCGACATTTGGCGGAACTTCCGAAGGGGGGGTGGAGGGGGGGGGTCTGGCTCCGGACCACTGCTCAATGCGTCTGTTTGCAGCAGTGCCTCCAGGGGGAGACTCCACCTGCTCGAAACAGGCGCCAAAAACAGCCAAGATCTACTCCATAGGGGGGGCAGGGGGGGGGGGGGAGAGGGCCCGCGCCGATGGGCAAAACAAAGAATGAGAAAACGGTCACCAATGCGTACGCCCTTGCTTACGCTGCCTAGCTTACCCCACACGGCTGGCTGTCCCCGTACATTGCACCGCATGCACGCAATAACTCACTGTTGGGGGCCCTCGCCGGCAAACATGTTGATGCCACCGTTTCTTCTTCGACCCCAGCTCCCCTCCCCATTCGGGGAATGGGATCCACATAGTCACAGCCGCTCAGCACGCAGAGGTCCGGGAGGGCCTCCCCCCAAGCCCTCCCTCTTGCGGCACAGGGCGCGCGGACAGGGCGCTGATGCGTGCCGCCCCCCCCCCAACCTATGCACAGCCGATGGGTAATACTAATGCGCGCAGTGCGCAGCACCCCGCGCTTGCGGATATGACAAGTTCGTGTCGTGCAGACTTCCGCGTTGATGCCTGACACCGCGTGAATCTTGCAACCTTGAGCGATCGCGGCTTCCATGTAACACAGACCGCTCGACGTCGGCTGAGTCCGGCCCACTGGCTGCATTCAGCCCTGAACAGCCGCGCTGGGGTCGCCGCCGCACCGGCACTGCAGCAGGGACACGCCGTCCTGGCATTCCTGTAGGCCCGCCGCGAAATATTCCAGAACACAAGAAGAAACCAAACATTGTTCGTAGAACAAAAACCCGACTTATTCAAACAAGACAGACTCAGCCAGAAACGTTCTAAGAACATGTCGCGCAAACCACACAAGGTTCTGAAAACAATTTTGGTAGGCCTCACGGGAAGCCAGGGCGCCTCGCCACTGCTTGAGACACAGAACGAGCATGTCATGAGCAACACCAGTGCGCGGGGGGTCTCGAGGGGCGGGAGCGTGAGGCTCCAGAAGGCCCCGCATGCGCACCTCCAGGCCCCGTGTTTCCCCCGTCCCGTCCCCGCGCGTCCTGCCCCAGCGCCCGCGCTGCCCCCGTGCGCAGCCCCCCGTGCACTGGCCCCCACTGCAGGCCTCCCAGGGTCCGACCAGGACGTCTGAGGCTCGCGTCGTGTTGTCGACGCATCGACGATGCATCGGCGATGCAACGGCGACGTCGGGGATGCATCGGCGACGTCGGCGTGGAAGACATCGTGCTCAACATCGAGCCGAATCACCGGTGCAGCCGCGATGCGGTGCGATCCTCCGAGCACAGACGTGTGCGGCACGTCTGCTGCCCGCTTCTCCTCGCGTCGTGGAAAAAAACACGGCGGGCAACGTTGGGAATTCCCGGCCTCTGGAAATCATCGTCGCGCCCCAGGACAGCCAGAACACGACTCAGGGGTGACAGGCGGGTCCCGGGGAAGGGGTCCTGAGCTCGGGGCCCACGCTGCGAACGAGAACACGGCCGCGGAGTGTTGGCCACGCGGTGCCCCCATGCATTACCCCCATGCACTGCCTCCCAAAACCGCATCCCTCGTCTCGCGCGAGCGCGGAAAAGGCTAGACCGCTTGGGCCCCCGTCACTCTGACGTGCTCGCACACCCCTCTGGCACTCCATCCAGTTGACCCTTCCCCGTCGACATCTTGAGCACCCTCTGCCGCTGCGAGGGCGAAGGCAATTTCAGAAGTGGATGGTAACCGAATCGCAGTTGTGGCACTATGCTTGAACGGCACGGCAATGATGGAAAAGGTAGCGATCGGCTCACAAGTGTGTGTGCGCTGTTTTGCCCTCGGTTTGATGGATGCAGTTTCGCCAAAGCCTGTCACATAACCAAACATGCGCATTTGTTTGGGGGGATGTCGCCAAGCCCCAAAACAAACACACGCACACGAACAATCACACACCACACACACACGTACATACATACACACCACCAACAACAACACGGAAACAACTAGAATTGGAACCCCAGCTCGCCGCCCTCCTTCCCGCGCTCTTTCAATAAGTGAAAACGCGCGCGGGAGCGCCGTTCCACTGTTCGCACCCCCCCGCAGCAACAAGCAAAAAGCAACCTCGGCCACACAAGTTCCCTCCATGGCAATCTTCAAACTCCTTCTGGTTCAATTGCGGGAATCCATGGGCGCCTGCCCTCGCTGGTGCATGCCTGAAAGGCGAAGCGACCGTGGGCCCAAGAAAACCGATCGGATTTCTACGGCATCTTGTAAGTTCCCTGGGCAGCCCTACAGGATCCCTAAGGACGCCTGAGGGGCCCCCACAGACCCCTGTAATATCCCCGAGGCATCTTATGGGATCCCTACAAAGCCCTATAGGATCCTACGAGATCCTTAGAGCAGGTTATAAGTTCTCTGCGGAACCCTACGGGATCCCTACAAAACCATCTAGGATCAAAACGGAAACATCCAGGATCCCTACTGAGAACTACAAAATCCCAACAGATCCCCACGGAACCCTTGAGGATCCATAGAAGGGCTTCTAGGATCCCGACGGAACCCTCTAAATCCCTACGGAATCCTCGATGGCCTCTCTCTAAGATCCTTGTCGGGGCCCTGTAAGATGCCGAAGGAAGCCCTATAAGACCCCTAGAGGATCCCTACAGTGGCCCTGCAGAGTCCTTGCGGAATCGCCTAGGCCCGCTACGGAAGCCAACAACATCACTACATAACCCCCTGGGATCCTTACGGAACCCTCTAAGATCCCTACGGAAACTCCGAAGATCCTTCCGGAACCCTCTATGGCCCCTCCGGAACCCTCTAGGATGCTCAAAGGGACCTGTAGGATGCCTCAAGAACCCGATAAGGATCCTATAGAATGCCTGCGCAGCCCTGTAGGATTCCCTTAAGGATCCTTAAAAAAATACGAACTCACGACGGAACCCTACAAGATCCCTGCGGAACCCTCTAGGATCTCTACGGAAGCCTCTGGGATCACTACGGAAGCCCTTAGGATCCTGCCCCACGACCAACCAGCACCGACGACCAGAAAAGAACCAAACGTAATAATAGCAATTCTCATAGGAGGAACACTAGACGCGAGGATAATGAACTGAGGACATCGTCGGCGGCAATGTCAAACAACGCACCAGTTGATCTGAAACCGCAAGAAAAAACAGTCATGATGACACCAGCAAGCTCATGTTTGTTCTAGAGACTTCAATTTTCGGTTCCAACACGACAACGCTAAAACACAAGCATGATGTCCAACACGCCAGGTTAAAGCGTGTAGAAAACGCCAAATATACATATATATATATATATAAACTGAACGGTGACGATGATACTACGACGACGATGAAGATTGTGATGACGGTGATGGTGATGGTAATGGTGATGATGGTGATGGTGATGTTGATAGTGATGATGACGATGACGAATCATGGTGCTTGTGATGGTGATGATGATGGTAATGCTGACGGTGATGATGATTATCATGTCATCTCATCACCATCAGCGGCATGCGCGCCGTCCAACAAAACGCCCACATCAAGAGGCCAGGGGACCCGCAAGGACGGAGACGGGTCGACAACACCAGGCAGGACGACAACAACACAGCCTGGACTGTCATCGATGCTGATCCTCCTCGTCCTCATCAGGATCGTCCTCCCGTGATCGTCAGCAGCGTCAGCATCAGCATCACGGCTGAGGGCCAGGACGGGCCGAGAGGCAGGGATGCGCGGTTCATTCAAAAATACCATGAAGGACGCCGAACAAGGAACGGTGACTGTTTGGGCCCCCAGAAGCGGCCTAGCGCACGAGGAACACTGGGAGAACAACCAGGGAGGACTTTACGAATAGCAAGCCCCCTCCGACCCCGAGCTGTTTCTTACTTCAGCGTCGTTGGACGCCCGAATTGAGACCGAAGTTTGAAGCCCGCAGCCCACGGCCCATGGCTGAGTGCTGGGATGGGCCGACAGGCAAGGTGGCTCGCTGGCTTCCCCCGAGAAATGGTGCTCCCGAGTGCCACGCCGCACACTCACGACGTACCTTGCCAGAAGCTCGACCGGCTCGGGAACTTGATCCAGCACATTCGTCCAGCGAGGCAGAGAGGCGAGGGGAGAAAAGAGAAGACAAGTAAGAAAATGGGGAGCAGCGAGGGGAAGGAGAGGGGGCGAATGCAGAGGAAGAAAAGGATGAGGAGGGTGCAGAAAGAACGAGGAATGACACCAGTAGGAAGCAAGAAGAGGCGAACGAAGAGAGACAACAACATCTCGTTCAGCCGTGCTCGGAATACTCCAATGGAACATGAAACACGGATTGCGAAGAGGACGACCGCTCGATGATAGCGGCGTGTAACTTCGAATTAATAACTACCCAGGTACATGCCCTCACAACACTGTCACAACGCAATCGCACTCTATGACCGCTGCCCCCCCAACATAAACTGCTTCTCGTGTCTGGCGCTCGCTTGCTTGAGCCCCTGCAGTCCAGTTCCCTGGACTCGCCAAAGCTGCACTCAAATCTTCATCGCCGCATGCCCGCCACCGTGAGGAGACGCACTGAGCTGAGTATCCTCAGGTCCCTTCGACCCCTCTGGCTTGACCATTGAACATGCTCTTCAACTGGCCCCCAACCCAGAGATCCTGGCGTTCCTCCTGGGGCTTCCCTCGCGACTTTACCAGAGGTGTGGTTGCGGGTCTCCACGCGCAACCTCAAATATGCCTTCAGAATGTCCTGCGCCTCTCGTGGGGGACCACTGGGCCATCTGCGAAGCCCAACGAGGCCCGCCAAGGAGGCCAGGAGTGTGGAACATCATTTGGTTTCTGTACGAGTCCCGCGTCCTGGGTAGTTCGGCCCTGAAGACGATGCACCGACATGCCAACAGAGAAGGTCCCGTTCGCGCCTCCGGCGTTAGCCGCAGGGGGGCCAGTCCCCTAGAACGCTCCACGTCCTCCAGCCGCACCTCGCGGCCACAGCCTCGGCAGGGGGGAAGATAGAGGGAGGAAGAGGGGGGAGGAGGGAAGGACACCAGGGGGAGGAGGAGGAAAGGGAAAGGAGGGGGGGGGGACGGGGAGGGACGGGGAGGGGGGAGGATGGGAACGGAAAGGGGGACGAAGAGGAGTAGGGGGAGGGAGGGGGGAAGAGGAGGGCGAGGATGGGAGGAAAAGGAGTGGGGCGAGGAGAATGGAAAGAAAAAGGAAGGGGAAAGTGAATGTCGGAATGGGAACGAACTCTGAGGGCACTAGATTCGTCTGATCTCGTGAGATGTCTGGGTAAACTCCTAGCCAGTTTGCCAATCTGCAACTTCAACTTGAAATCTGTCGTCGACCCGAGGACCTAACGAAGAACTAGAAGACCGCTGTGCTGACAGGAGAGGCGCACAGGCGGTCGGCGGCACTCTCATTTGCCGAC